ACATTCGTTTTATTTTCAGATTGTTTAATGTGTTTGTTGTTTTTAATGTTTATAAAATACATAAATTGACACAAACATCTGAATAGGTTAAAAATCTTTAAACAATCTGTTAAATTTACGTTATTGTTAAAGCAAAGTTAACCCTCATTTCTGAGAAGGTGTTCTTCAGATGTCTTCAAAATATTTTTAAATATTTATACAAGGTTTTATGTATACCGTATGGAACAAAGTCAAGAGACATGTCGCGAGCAGTCGCGGCACATTTATGAGCGACATTCCGGGGGCAATGTCCACATACGAGTACCAAAGGATGGAGGAGCTCGCCGCTTACATAATTATTTTGAAGAAACATTCCAAATCATAAAAAGATGGTGGTTTAGGGAATATTTACTATAAAGGAAAAGGTCATTAGGCTTGGTAAGCAGTCTTCGAATATGTGACTGCTCATTCGAAAATTTTACAAGAATGTGTACAACCGAGTTCAAAATACTTTTAAGTATATTTGGACCGTAGATACATAAGCAAGGTACAAAATTTCGGAACACTATCGAGCTTCACATCAGATTTGCGATAACACTGACATACTTAGCAACTGGGGATAGTTATGATTCATTGTCTTATACTTTCTAAGTATTTAAAAATGAAAACGGGGCTTAAATAGCGTCTTCTCAAAGATTTAGATGTTTTTTTCTTTATGAAATAAATCCTTTCAGTTTATCATAGTATTAATATCCCGACTGAGTATATCTTAATTTTTTAGTTGTTTAGTTTAGTTGCTAAAAAAAACTGCCAGTCGTAGGAGTGTACGTCAAAATTAAAAATTTCTTAGCTTCAGAAACTTGTTAACATTATTTTTGGGTTGTTATGAAATTAGGAAGTATTGAAGTTATAATTCTTTTTGGGCGTTTGGGAAAAATTATGAGAATAAATTCTTTACGATGCGTGCGCTCACCGACAGCTAAAAACGACACCATGAAGTTCTTACGATGCGCGCGCACACTGACACCTCAAAGCGTCAACTTCATTGGGTAACTGTCTCTTATATTTTCGTTGGAACTGATAACTACATTTAAGGTAGTTATTTTTAGCTATTTTTTGTTTTGTTACGCTAAAGAAGTATAACTTCCTACGTGCGTACATGAGTACACACACTTTTTTTTAATAGAATTCAACGTATTATTATAGTAAAAAAATTCATTCATTGCGCTGTACTTATAAAAAGTATGAAAAGGAATGATTATTATATACATAGTACAATTTGCATAGTTGCAGCACGAATGGATCGGCTCGACCGGGGAAGGACCATGCTCTCACAGAATACCAGCGTAAAATAGCAGCTTAACACTGCTGTGTTTCGTATGGTGAGTGTAGAGAACCGGAGACCCTTTTTACTGAAGAAGAGGCATTCCATCTTAGTCCTCACGGGTGACAACGCATCTGCATTTTGATTATTTATTGAGGATAGATGTAGATATCTATGGGTCACAGAAACCACTTACCATCAGGTGGACTGTGTGCTCGTCTGTCATCCTATCCTATTAAAAAAAAAACAATTTCTTTTCTTTTTTCCTGTTCCAAAAGTGCCCAACGAAAAACAAAAAACTGATAAAATAAATGGTATTTAATGATTCATAAACTATAATATTTTTTTACCGTGTAGTGGCGGTGTAAAAAGATCCACTAGCCTATATTATCCCGTGGGTGTTATAAAAGGAGACAAAGAGAAACGAGCCAGGAGATGGGCAGCAGTGTTTTGCTAATATAACGACTAAAATAAAAAAATTGCAGTTGCTAAGCCGCTTCCAAAGCGCGCAACTATGTAAAACATTCCCCCTATGAGGCAATCTAAGGGAGAGGCCTATGTACAGCAGTGGACTATAATAGGCTGTAAAGGTAAACTACAATAAATATGAAAAACTTTCGGACAAACTCTTTTCTTTTGCAATTTTACACAAAAAAGGTCCTCAAACTTAGCTTAACTTAACTTTCTATCTCTTAAAGTTTAGATACAAAATTGATTTTTAACATTTTTTTACTCAATACCGTTATACAACGAAACGACGACTGTTATTAAAGTGATATTAAGACATTTTTTCCGGAAAATTAATAGAGCTTTAATTTTAATTTTAAACATTTTTCCATATCGCAAATAGTTTCAGATTTTATTCGATTCGTTTTTTCGAGATAAAACTGAGATTAAAGTGGTTTTTCGATATTTCTGCAAAAAAAAAGTGAAACTGCAGTTATTTTTGTTCATTCTACGCAGACGAAGTCGTGGCTAAAAGCTAGTTCTAAAATAAAATAAAAATACAACATGGATTCTTTATGTGAAAACGACATATTAATTTAATATTTTAAATACAAATAAAATTCTTAACTATAGTTGAGATTTATTCTTTATTTCAACGAATCCCACAATTCTGACACTGTCCCTTCATAAATTTAGAAAACTGGTTCACTTGGTAGAAGGGCTCACTAAAAATCAAATGTAAAGCACAAAACATACCTACATAAATTTCCATTCATGACTATAGTTAACATTAATTTTTACTTCAACGAGTTTCACAATTATGATACTGTTACTTCATAAATTTAGAAAACTGGTCGACCTTCACTCAGTAAAGGGCTCGCCTAAAATCTTAGACTACGTTACCAGTCACCTTAATTAAACTTCGTTTTATTACATGAAACAAATGCTCATGAACTAAACCATTATAATTTATCATAACCTGCCAACATGTTACTTCGTCTTCTTCTTCTTATCAAGCCATTACAGTTTCCTTTTGGACATGAACCTCTCCCATTGCAGGGATAATTAGCTATTAAGCTTAGCAAGAGCAGTATTAGTGGATTTAGCAAATATTTCTTACCTATTCTGCAATGTTAAATGAGGCATTTCATTCGCAAGCGGGACAACGCATTACTCTATTATAATTTCTAATCGAGCTAGATAGGTTTCTATGGGCCACAGCATCCTCGTATAGGTGCACTGTGTGCTCGTTTGTCATTGTGATGAATTAGGGTTTTGGATTTTCTTAAACCGTCACCACGCTTTTGGGGAAAATAAATAATATTGGTACTAATATAATTTAAAATTAAAAATTTTGTACAGCCGACTTCAATATAAGTTATTAAGAATAACTCAAAAACTATTGGTGTGACCTTGATAAAGGGACCACACGAGAAGCACCAGCTTTCAAATAAAAAAGAATCATCGAAATCGGTTCACCCAGTAAAAAGTTATACACATAAAAAAACATATAGTCGAATTGAGTACAGTCTGCTTTTTGGAAGTCGGCAGAAAATATGATTTCGCACTCGAACGCGAAGCGGAGAGGTTAAGCTTTATAGACGAGTTGTCAAGGGCACACTATTTTTATACAACATTATGAAATGAAGAAAAGCATATATTTTCCCTTTTTAATAATTTTTCTGCTACATTGTGTGACTATTAGTAAGTGTAAAAAGACGCGATCGTTTAAATTACTACTTACTGTTTCTTAATTGGCCCTTGGCCTATGATATATGTGTAAAAAATTTCAAAATTTTCCACTTTTGGATGATCCCTTGAAATTCATTAATTATTATTTACGAGAAATTATCTAAGGTAGATGAACTTTTGAAAAATAATTATCTATAAATTATATACGTCTGAGTTGAGTGAATTTTTGGATTTTTCTAATATTCATTTATAAATTAAAAAATTTAAATAGGATATTAAGGGAATATATTGCACAATGAGGGTGTGGTATCTATCTAAAAGTAAAGAACAAAAGTCTCACGGACTGGTAAGGGAGGGCGGCACTAACTTTACAAGGGTTTCTGCTCTGCGCTCATTAATTCCGTAAGAAATGCTTGTTAAATGGTGCATTCTTGTAAAAGCCTACGTCCAGCGTACTTAAAAAATACTATAAATTGTGGTCATGATAATGCTGTGTTAATTAATGGTGTGAAATTATTCTTTTTTTTTAAAGTTACCCCCACACTAGGATTTTCTCCTGTATCGCGGAGGCAGTTTACAAACATAGATTGCACGAGGACAAATATCCAGACCGATAACAAATATTTGTTCCGTGTGGGATTCGAACCCGCGGCCCCAGTGCAACAACTCATTGCTAAGTCGCTGCGCCACGGAGCCGTCAAATAATCAATAATCATGCAATTAATTATTATAAAAAAAAAATCATTAGCGTCATTATTGAAACCGTTACCTACAGTCCACTGCTGAACATAGGTCGCCCCCATAGATTGTCTCAAAGGGAAATATTTGTCATAGTAGCCACGCTTGGCAAGCGGGTTGGTAATCGTAGTTTATTTTCTAATTTTAGTCGTTATTAGGAAGACGCTGCTGCCCATCTCCTGACTCGTTTCTCTTTGTCGCCTCTTATGAATATTTATGGGTATTATTAATATTTATGGTTATTATTTAACTACCTCGTTTAAGTGGTAGAGCCATGGTGCAGTTATATTAGTGGTATAGTTGTAGCACGATTGGGTCGGCTCGACCTCGAAAATTGCAGCTTTAAAAGCTGCCGTATTTCGTAAGATGGATATAGAAAACGCGGGACTCTTTTTGCTGGGAACTAGGCATTTCATCTTAGTCCTCAGGGATGACAACGTTATGCAGATCATAATGATTTCTTATGTTTACGCGAACACTGCACATTTAAATGAAACTAGTTTTTACGGATTTTGCCGCGTATCTATCTACGAGTAATTATAATAGTAGGTAATCCGTAAAAACTAGTTTAATTTAAAACGATATCTGCATTTTGATTATTAACCGAGGATATATGTAGATGTCTATAGGCCACAGTATCCACTTATCATCAGGTGGAGGACTGTGTTCTCGTTCGTCAACCTAATTCTATAAAAATGTGTTTTCTATTGTAAGTGACAAGAACCGGAGTCAATTGTCACTCTTGCTTCTAAAAAAGAAACTCTTACCATATTACTGTATACTTAACATTCGAAATTTGATTAATTTTTAGGCGTTCATCATGTTAGAAGGAACAAAAATACACACATCTTCACAAATGGGGATTATCTTTGATATTGCAAAGGACACAGTGCTCTTCCTTTTGTTGTCATGTTATTACATCCTCGAATCGCTCTTCTGGACCTTAGTACCAAATGCTATCAGGCCTATGAAGAGCCTCAAAGGAGATGTCATATTAGTTACGGGCGGTGGGGGCGGAGTTGGCCGCCATCTTGCAATTAAATTGGCGCGGCTTGGAGCCAAAGTTGTCATATGGGATATCAACAAAGAAGGTAAGAATAGGAAAAAATATTCATATTAACACTACTTATACTGATCTTAATGAAAAGCAATTAATTTAACAAGTTCTTTGTTTTGTTAGCTTTACAAAAAACCTGTACAGCCCTTATAGAAGAAGGCTATGAAGTCGCAAGTTATGTCGTCGATCTCGCCGACCGCGCATCAGTCTACGCCACGGCTGAAAAAGTAAAAAAAGAGGTTAGAACATAATTTGATACACATAATATAGCATTTTCTTTCAAATAAAAGTAACTTCCTTAAATAATCGCCGTGTAGTGGCGGCGTAAGAATCCATCGCCCCATTTCGTCCCCTGGGTATGAAGCGGCTCTGTGAAATATCAGAATGATCTCATGGCTTCCTTCCGATGTCGGTGTAACTTACAGATTGACTCCAGACATAAAGTACCCAGACGGATGACGGTGAGCAGCGTTAAAGGTGCAAGACATATAGAATCTGGAAGAATATGACCAAAAATAAATAACTTTTATCAATAATTTTATTATACAATGAATATACGGCGGGATCTTGCTAGGCTTGCCAACCGTCCCGGGACTTCCCGCTTCTGAGTCAATTTTGGGCCGTCCCACCGTGACCCCATGCGGGACGCCTTTTGTCCCGGAAATCAGTGATTATATGATATTATTATCGATCTGGTACCAACTACACTAATTTGTTACACATTATTAAAAAAAAATTCTAACCAATTTGTATGTGGTGTGTTGTGTCCCGCGTAATATATCCAAGTCTCGGATGTCGAGCTGGGTAATCCCGGAAATGCCTTTTTTGGAGTTGGCAAGCCTACATCTTGCCCTAAATTCCGAAATAGCAATTGCAATATCAGATTTCTAGCACCAACGACGTTGCTCCTTTCACCGACTTGGGATAAATTTAGTTTGATGATACTTTAAAGTGGTTTCTTCTCCATGTGTAGGATTTTATAAGATTCTTCGACCGTCACGACTCCTAAGAAACAAAATATTTTTTTAAGATTTGAGTGACAAACAGGCACACAGTCCACCTGATGATAAGTTGTTGCGGTGGCCCATAGACATCTACATCTAACCTCGACTATGAATCAAAATGCAGATGCGTTGTCAGCCGTGAGGACTAAGATGGAATGCCTCGTTTCCAGTAAAAAGGGTCTTCGGTTCTCTACACTCACCATACGAAACACAGCAGTTTTAAGTTGCTATTTTACGCTTGTTTCACGTTGCTGTGTTTCGCACAGCAACGTTAAGCTGCTATTTTACGCTGGTATTCTGTGAGAGCGTGGTCCTTTCCTGGTAGAGCCGACCCATTCGTGCTTCAACTATACCAGTAATATAGCTGCAACGTGGCTCTACCACGTACATAATTTGAGAATTTTAACTTGCAACAATAGACATCATATCACAAGTTCTTCGTAAATGTCGAAATGTAAATGACGATAGTATTCGGAAGTAGTAGAAGACGAAATTACTCAAAGGAAAATACTCATTGGAATTTTTTTTGATCCGCATAACTACTTACTAATTATACTTTTATTACTTACTACCCAATTATGAAAGTTATGCTTACTTTCCAAGCCTTCATTTTCCTGTACACTAATTCATACATCTATATTTTTTAAAGGTTCAAGGTTGTGCTATGTTATACTCGTATAATATAAGACAGTCACTACAGACTGGTTATTATGCTAACAAGTAAATGTGTAGTTTGATATTAGAACACTTACGAATCATTAACCAAAATAAAAGGAAACGCAAATATGTAATTACCTAATTATAAAGTTATGTAAAACGTACAGTATAATAAATATTACTGAAGGTGAACTAGATTTTGTAAGTTGCAAGCGAGGTCAGTTTTCCAACTAAATGGTTACTACAATATATTGATAGAGCAGTAACAAACATCAAAGTCAAACAGAAAACCACAAGTGAATCCTCACCCCTGAGAACTAAGATAAAATGAATCACAATATATACAGTTGTGGAGAGTTACCAGCCGAATCTGATCAAATCCAGTCCCAAAGAGAAGCTACGGTTGAGTGTGTGAATCTCTCACTGCAGGTAGTCCCCGAAAAGGGCGATGCCAGTCTTATGAGGTTAAACGCCTCCAAAACACAAGCGAGTCTCTTCACCGCTAAAGGCATTCGCTTATCTTAGCGCCTACTTTCCGGAATGTACCTTTAGGGAGGTACACCGAGTTCTTACATTATATCAGGGGTGGTGAACCTTTAAGTATCAACGTCCCATTTTCTAAAGAAATGTTTAATAAGGCCATAGACGTGCCGAAAATAATTTTTACTTCGTGAATACCGCCGCGCCCGAACACTCGTGTAGGATCACTCGCGTTCGTTCGTAATATTACTTCATAGTGAACTTTGTGATCGGTGACGTGCTTAAAATATTGTGTCGTGTGCCATTGGTTCGCCATCCCTTATATAATGCGTAAGTCCAGACGTGCTGCTGTCAGATATGGACTGGTACTGAAAAAATCCCACCAGCATTGGACTCAATGGAGAGACGTGCTAAGAGGCTTAACGTAACCTTGATTTAGTTGAAACCAATCTTGTCAGCCTCAAAAGCACAAGCACTGAGTAACCTGTCTCTCAATATTTTATAAGCCGCATTATGGAGAGTGTACGCAGCCATTACATGCTTTAATTCCTCCCACCCCTTTTCACCATAGGACAATCAGGCGATCGGCGGGTTTTGTTGTCGATATTCCATTCATTCAAACCCAATTTGCTTCGTCTTTCATAATGCGTGCAGCAAGAGTGAAATAAATTAAATGAAAATGAAATAAATAATCTGCCCGCGTCTGTCTTTCCCTCTAATTACCATTTGATCGTTTTCATGGCAAGAGTAACTACCACCACTACCACTTACCACCAGGATTTAGTATTGTAGTCAAGCACTTGCTTGTAATAAGTAAAAAAGTATGTACCTATATGTTGGCACATTTCCCATATTTCAAACTGAAACAAGTGACTAATCAAGTACTACTTGGGGGTAAAAATATCTGAGCTGCTATCTGAGGGCACCCTACTCAGGTTGACTTGAGATTAATACCATGAAAAATTTTAAAAACTGTTTTATATTTTCTTTCTAAAACTGAGAATAATTTACACAATTACATAATAATATAAAATTTAAATATTTTTATAATGTTCTACAACAAAACAAAATCTTGCTTTTCGGGATAAAATATAAACTCATTAACATTTTTGTTAATTAACATAAATACACGGCAATTGTTAACGTCTTTCAACTTAACATATTATGTACATGACACAAATTTTAGCTCTGATCACTTACACTAATACAAATGTCTATTCAAAAATAAAATATTAAATATACAGAGTAAAAAAATAAAGTTCCATCCCATATTATACATTCCATTGTTTTTTTTTTTTCTGAAAGTGTACGACGTTGACCCTGCGGCCTTTACAGCTTCATCGAATTAAACACGTAAGCGAGGACCTACGAGCTTATAGAGTGCAACGAATCTTCCCGACTGCAGTCCCGAGGCACCCCGACCCTTGCTTTCGGAGAGAGGTTAATCTAGCTGGGTTGAAAAGGAGGTACGAACCTCGGCTTGAACCACTATTGCAATGTGGGTTATATATACGTTCCACTGATAGGTACAGGCCTCCTTTTATATCTGAGAAGGTTATACGAGAAGATTGCTAGTTAGTAGTAGCTGCTCCATTGCATTCACATATTCCCGAATTATTTTATTCTTCAGAAATTCACTGTAATTTTGTATGGTGAGTGCTATACACTCACCATACAAAATTACAGTGAATTTAGAAACACATAGATCCTGAACTACCGTGGTTATACATATTCTAATAATATACTTGAACGGGAATCAAATCTGAGTTCCACAAGACATATAATATATATTTTTATTTACAAAGGTAGGGAAGGTGGATGTGCTGATAAACAACGCAGGAACAGTCTTCGGTGAAACTCTGCTGGAACTAAGCGACACCGCCATAGAAACAACGTACAAAGTCAACATACTCTCCCATTACTGGGTAAGTTCATCACAGTCATATTTCTTCTTGCAATTGAGTTTTTTATGTAAATTTGTTATTAACAGAATTGCATTGAAATATTTTATTTAGGCCTTATAGAATAAATACATTTAATATGGTTCTACTTTCCAGTTCTTTATATAGCCATTCATAATTCACTGTTGGGTAACGCCCTTTTTAAAAATACAACTGGTAATCAATCAAACAAAGTTGCTCCTTCCTTTTCTCTGTTCCTTCACAATGCTTATGAACCTTTCCCGATTTACCGCATCTACATTTTTGTCGCTATGGATAAATCAGATCGACATTTATACTTATTTTTCAGACTGTCAAATCCTTCCTGCCTGACATGATCAAGTCGGGAAAAGGGCATATTGTGACGGTTGGTTCAGTGGCCGGACTGCTCGGCACGTACCGCTGCACAGACTATAGTGGTACTAAGTTCGCCACCGTCGGATTTCATGAAAGTTTATTTACTGAACTTAGGGTAAGTTGATAGGAACAACATATAATTTAAGTTAAAAGAATAGTTCAGTTACGATATTCTGGTTGTCATTGTTTATTTTCTGTCGACTTCCAAAAAGGAGACGGTACTCAATTCGACTGTATTTTTTTTTGTTTTTTTTTTTATGTGCGTTACCTCATAACTTTTTACTGGGTGAATCGATTTCGATGATTCTTTTTTTATTTGAAAGTTGGTACTTCTCGTGTGGTCCCATATGAATTTGATCAAGGTCAGGCCAATAGTTTTTGAGTTATTCTTAATAACTTATATTGAAGTTAAATTTTTTAATTTTAAATTATTAGTTGATTACAAGATGACCTGTATATACATATGTAATTATAAGTAAGTTAAGACTGTCTGTTAGCAAACTTTAGTTACTTAGTATTAGTTATTATATTAATCTGTGGTATTAGGCAATATACAACAAACCAATGGTTGTAAAAGCAAAAATGTATTCAAATAAATAAAATTGAAGTGCAAGTTTGTAATGTTAAAATAACAGTTTTTTACTTAATGCATATGAAAGTATATACGGTATTAATACCAAAAAACATTTTTTTTAATTTTTGTGTTTGTTCCGGCTAATCTCCGAAACGGCTGGTAAGACTTTCACTGGCAGATACCTGATGTTATAAGGAATAACTTAGGATACTTTTATTTTAGAAAAAGAATTAGGGTTCTGCACAAAAAAATTAAAACCCATGAAATCGTTGTAAATTGCACGCGAGCGAAGTCCCGAGGGACAGCTAGTTTCTAATAATATAGAATTTAAAATATATATAACAGTAATAAAGAAATTAAATTTGTTAAAAGAGTGTTAGATTTCGGAAGGTACATGGACTTATACAAGTAGATATATTATCTCAAATTTGAAAATACTCAATTTTTTTTAATAAGTATCAGTAATAAAATGCAACAATTACATGTGGATCATTTTAATTTGCGATCTATAGTACCTACCTAGTTTAGGGAGACTAAAATATGAGAGGTTAACTTTTCATGCCGGCACATCGCTTGCAACTTTACAAGGCGCAAGTTCGGCCTCACATAGAATACTGTTTTCATCTCTGGGCCATATCACCCCCCCCCCCCCCCTCATTCCACTTGACCGCATCTAGCGCAGAGCGCGTTCGAATCGTCGAAGACAGAGATCTTTCTGATCGGCTCGATACACTGGCGCTACGTAGGGATGTTGCATCCCTTTGCATTTTCTATCGAATCTACCACGTTGAGTGCTCTGAGGAATTGTTCGGATTAATTCCAGCCTCCAACCAAATTTCACGAACGCACATCGCGTCATAATTCACGATACCATCCTCATTATCTAGATGCTTGGCGGTCCACGACTGTGCGTTTTACTAGGAGTTTTCTTCCTCGTACAACTTCTCTCTGGAATTGTTTACCACCGGCGATTTTTCCGGACCGATAGACTTAGGGACCTTCAAGAAAAGAGCTTACACCTTTCTAAAAGGCCGGCAACGCATCTGCAATTCCCCTGGTGTTGTATTTGTTGCACTTACCATCAGGTGAGCCGCATGCTCGTTTGCCCCCTCTTCTATAAAAAAAAATATTATGCTGAACCGACTTGAGATTTCCAGGCAAATAGGGAATTAAAAATAATATTAAAACCAGGCGTATATTTTTTGAATGATGATAAGTATTATTTTGTAATATCGACGAATTTATTACTATGTTTGCAAGTAATGAAATAAGGCGTTATTTTATGTAAAAAAAAGAGTAGATCTAAATATGGGACAAAAGTAAAATATTATTATTGTAATAAATGTACTTATTATTTATACAAAAATAATTTTACTAAATAAATATTTCATCTTTAGCTGGACAATATAATAGCTTTTCTTATAATGCCTCAAACGAGATTTATTTATTAAAGACTTACTTGTATTCAAAGCGTTAGTGCAGGTACTGTCCAAAATTCTTACACTAGTAACGCTATTCCTATATTACCCAGCAGTAAGTAGAATTTTGGTATATTTGGATGGATTTCCCGCCAAAAATGTAAAAGGGTGAAAGTTACCATGTCAACTTTTTTCAACAATCGTCAACCTCCAACCGATTAGCGACGGATAGCTACATAAATTTTTATTACTAAAATAAACGAGTTAGGTGGTATTGCTCTTTTTAGTCTAGGAGTCTACTCTTGGTCCAATGTTGTTTCGGTTCGAAGAATAAAATGGACGGTATTATTAAAGGTTGTCCAATAAGCAATACATCTTAACACTTTCACAGTCAGACGCAATAGTAATGTATGTAGAGCACGGAACAGTGAAAGGGTTAATCTTCATGTTTTTAAAACTATAATGATATATCTTCAAGTAGCACTCGATGATTAGAACTGGCTGCATTGGCTTCTTAATGCTGTGCTTTAATGTTTTTTTTTTAATTTAGGCGCATGGTCACAACTCCATCCATGCCACATTGGTGTGCCCGTATTACATTAACACGGGTATGTTCGATGGCGTCACGCCACGCCTCATGCCCATGTTAGAGCCTGACTACGTAGCGGAGACTATGATAGAATCCATCAGGAAGAACGAGGTTAACTGCATAATGCCAGGTTCCGTTAGATATCTGCTACCGCTTAAGTGGTAAGTATTATCATAAATCGAAATTTATTTTGGTTCCATCGCTGTCTGTCCATTATTGTCAGATTTTAAGTGTAACAAATTAGAAAACAATTTATGTATAGTCTAGTCTCGTGTTTAATGTTTGTTCTTTTATTTACTGTTAGGATTTATTTATAATGTATGAAGATAGACCACTGCTCTAACTACGCGAAAAAGACGAGACGGGCCACACTGAAAAACAACGGCTGTGGTTCGCCAATAGTTTATGCAAGCAATAAGTTGACGCAATCTGATGAACGATATAGCAGCGAATAAAATACGAACAAACAAATATTAATTTTTATATATGAGATAACCTTAAAAATAAGAAAACATTATTTACAATATGGTGTTGTGCTAATGCGGCGAAATAAATATTTTCTCTCTTTCTTTCAAATTAAAGTATAAGCGTCAAGCTTTTAATATATCATTTAATACATCATATAAGCCTAGAAAACAATAACTAATAAAATCAATTTTATTATTTCAGTCTACTTCCCGCCAAGATGTGCTGGGATCTAATGCATCGTGTCATGAAAGGACCACAATCCATGATGGACCTAAAAAGGAAGCCCAAAATTGCTTAATTTTTTTTACATAGTTGCATATTTATTTGCGTAGTTTTACAACTTATAACTTCGTCGTTAAGTGCATCATGCCTAAGTGTTGAAGACTGAATCGAATTTTGTAAAATACGTCTTATTTTCTGTATTAAATAATAAACAATCATTTTTGGATATTAATTAACCACTGTAAAAAATAGTTACTTTAATGAGTCTTAATCTCTTTTTCATATCTCATTGTTATCCCTTATACTTATATGGACATAAATTACCGAAAATGACAAATGTTAGCAGAACTTAATTGAAAACGAATCTAATCATAGAAGTAAAAAGATAAACCATAGAGTATATATAGTATGTTCCATTAAAATATATTTAAATCCTAAGCAATTGATGGAAAATGTCAAAAGTTTTAGTTGTGCATACCAGGCCCGTGACAGCTTAGTTCCAATTTATGCAACTTGGCGCTACCGTCGCAAATTTGTTCTCTGCCTACGGACGCCATTTTGAGCATGTTGACACGCCATATTGTGTTAATGTCAAATCATATTGTCAAAAGTCAAAGTTATCGATATTGATCGATTGCCGCCATTATTAATCCGAATTTTCCTAAGTTATTACAATATTCTGTTTTTGTGCTGCTCGTGTGAATATTGCATATACCAACATAATGGTATACAAAAAGTGTTGTGTTGGTGGTTGCAATACAACACATGAAACGCACCGGCTTTTCAGTTTCCCTAGGAACGATAATTTAAGAAATTTATGGATGTCTTTCATAGTGCCGACAAATCCCCAGCTCATTGCACTTTCCAAAGAACAGTTACTTAACAAACACGTCTGTGAAAAACATTTTGATATATTTCAGTTCGACAATGAAGGTAGAAGACTTCGATACTCTTACCCGTCCTTGCTTACTGACAATGAAATAGCTCATGGTGTGCCTCTAATTGCAACAGGTGAGTTATTTTATTACTTTCAATCATGGTACTTAAGACGTCTCTATACATTCTTGGGCCCAAGTGTTAACAAGATGAAAGTACGTATAATAAAGCGTATATATAAACAATTCATAGCTGAAAATCTGGCAAGATTTGTCAATCTAGGAACTTATTGTAAGGAAGTTATTGTAGAATAAGTAAAAGTGAGATTATCTATTGGCTACACTGTAACAGGTGATTTTTCACTATTATTACACAGTAACAGGTTATTTTTCGCTATAATTACTTCAATATTTAAAAGCAAGATCATTAAAAAATCACCAAAAAAGCTGTGGTTAATAATGAAACGAAATGGTCAAACGATTAATGAAAGTTAAAACAACAACAACTAAGTGAAGTGAATATTAGGGATTCTGATCTTATAGATGTGCCAACTTAGAAAATTTTGACTTGATTTAACTCGAGTTGAAATTCACGCAACTTGAGTTAGCAGTACGAATCAGAGTAAATGATTTGTTACAAATTACTTTTTTATAAATTTGTTTTTCTATCTAGCTCTTTGATGGGTTGAGATAATTATAATTTCCTTTTTTATATCTATTAAAACTTATTATGTAGGATTGATATGAAAAGGTATATTTAGTATGTATCATATACTTATGTATTAGTCTAGCTTTAAGATGTAGGTACATAAGCTATTACTAGTTTAATTACAAAAGGTTGAAGTTTAAAGTCAAAATATTCTTAAATAAATTCAATATATTTATTGTGAGTTAAGTGTTACATTTGGCGTTAATTTAAAGTATGATGATACTATATTGATCATAATTAATCAAAATTATATAGGGAATTAAATTACACAACTAGCTATAATAAAATTCTAAATAACAAATTGTTTTGGTTGTAGCTAAATACTCTTTGAAACGCAAAGCGCGCACACAACAAACAAATTGCACTTTTACTCTTTTGCTAGCTCACTTGATCCGTTCATGTACAGCAACCCAAACTCAAGTTAGGAAGATTCAACTCGAGTTAACGCATCACTAATCGATCTGAGATCGATTACTTGAATTATTGTTGTAGCTGTTACTTGTTGGAATGTTGATATTTTGTATTTTTTATTATTGTTTCGTAGATAGAGGATTGACTAGATAAAGCATTCGCGTATGCTTTTGAGATAGAAATAGGCGGGAGGTACATTCACTGGGTTACCAGATATTGTTCCATTTCCCCCGTTATGCGTTTATTTATATTCACAGCACTTACATTCATACAAAAAACTTAATTGTTACCATAAAAAAAGTTCTTATATAATTCAGATGATTAATTAATTTCTCTTGAAAATACATTCTGTGACAAAAACTACTGGCGGAAACGCGTAAAAACAGAATCATCATTCTGTATTCAACGGCGCATCGACGATTTTACTGGACATTCAATAAACTCTTTGGATTTCGACGATCAGCGACGAGTATTGTCCTGATAACAGCTAAATAATGGTTGACAACCCGCTTACCAAGCGTTGAAACTATGCCAAATAACTATAATCATGTTTATGTTCAACAGTGGACTTTTGATAGACTGTAAAGATATATATTCTATTTAAATGAAAATATATTGAAATTTAAAAAGGAAAAAGAACTAAATTTTGCGTACTTACACAACTTTTAGAAATATTAACAATGTTACATAAAGTAAAACAAATGAAAACACAATTATATATTAAATATAATTCAATCAAATTAAAATAAACAAACGATTATTTATTAATTTTTCAACACATTAATAAACAATAAACAATAAATTTAACAAAATTTTTGTCTTCTTTCTAGAGCATTAGTTGTAATGCTTGGTTTGAGTAGCCTTAGAATTTCTCAAAAATATGCATTTGTAAACTTGATTTATACCTTTGCATGGCAGAAATTCTTGGGTGCTGGTCGTTAGAATCAGATTAGGAGTGTATATATATATATATTATTTGCCTTGTATACAATATATTTTAATGGTATAAATAATAAGGTACAACTCCTAAACTATACTTAGATAGGTAATACTTATCTCTTATTTCTTAATTTATTTACACATTAATGTTTATAACACCTTTATAAAAGGGATTAAGGGTGGACTAAATGTCCCATTGGTAGGCATTCCCAGTCAGTTTTACAATTATTATTGCATAATAAATTATTAATTTGTATATTTAGGTCAGGATTTTAAATTACTTATTTATTTATTTTATTTAAATCTTTATTTGCATAAAACATGGTAGTACAGATAAAGTTCCAACATTTGTAAATGAGGATTCATGTTTAATCAATACATCTACAAATAAATATTTTGTCTTTGTCATGCCCCCAATTATTACAAGTCATAATAATACAGAATGTCAGCATTTGAAAATAAAATAAGCAATGCTAGTCAATTTTTAATACATACAGAACAATGTCAAAAATCATAACTACCAACAAGATCAAACTTATATCACTTATGGAGAAACAACAAGATACAACAAGAAATTATAACATTTAAAAAATTATCTTAATTATATTATAAATTACATAAGTTAAGCATATTTAGTCCACCTAAAACAATGAGGCTTAAAATGTTTTGAGCATACACTGCTAAGTTTTGTTGGTTACCTATAAGCACTACCAGTAGCGATTATCCAACTGTTACTGATAGCTGATTCCTTAGGAAAGTTGTGAAATAATATATTTAAAAGAAATTAATATATTAAATATATAGTACACTTTTATATCAAGGTATTTAACAAAAGAAAAATCAAGTATGTGTATCTGTGCATAAACACAATACCTATAACAATTAAAACAATATCAACTGATTTATTTAAATAGCAAGTATATGTAAATGTAATGATAATATTATTCATACCAAACATTTAAAAAAATTATGTACATATTAAGATTTAGATATTGTTAATTAATACATTTACAGCCTAACAAATGTCCTCCACTGCTGAACATAGACCTCCCACACAGTTTGTCTCCAAATAACTGCAGTTGCCAATTCTCCTGCCAAGCTAGGCAACTATCACAAAACCCATAACTTTTGATACTGACTAATGGTAATGGTAAGTATATTATCATCAAATTTTTTCTGCATCATTAATTGAGAATATTATCTTATGTTGTTGTGTTATTGTGTACCTTAAGATTAAGACTTATTTATTATTTTATCTATATTTATATCTATTTTTATATTAGCATGACATTTTTTGAATAAATATTGTAATGTAATTGTTGCTAATCTATAATAGAATGAATGGAATGCAATAAAGTTTTGTGCATCTGATTTCAAGCAATACATATTTTGTGAAGTTAAATATACTTTGCCCAATATTTATATACTTGAATCCAAACATGTTTTCAGCTTGATACTTACATATTATTTGTGAAGTCTATGTAATATAGAAAATGATTGAAGAGTTGTAGGGCAATAAGGACTTTCCTTTAAAGCTGAACATAAAAGTGTATACATATAACATTATGTGAATCATATTTATGGATATAACTACTAATCACAATAAATATTATTATTGAACAATGCGAAAACTTTATTGTACTCGCTGATATCCCTAAAGTTTCTATAATCCTACCAAATCAAAAAGTACACGTTTGTTATGACTTTAAGCTTTCGAATGACCGTTCAAATTAAGGAGCATTATCGTGAAAAATTTACAATTTGGGAATCTAAATATTTGACAAAATACATCACAAAGTTCATTAAAAACATGAAATGTTACACTTTATATTCAAAACAATAGATATTAATCAGTACAAATAGCAAATGTAAGCACAAAACAAACTTACCGATGAAAGGTGATATTATCAATTTTTCGTTGACTGATGCTGTTGCATCCTAAAATGCTACAACTTACCATCTTTTTCACCTTACCTAATAAATAAGATCCACAAAAAACACTAAATTCAATTATATAGTTTGCTTATAATATCAATATTATTCAAAAGAGCTTGACATCGTTAATGTCAAATAAAGGAGGGAAAACAATCAAAAACGCATACCTAGAAAAAGACATGAAATATAGATTTGCTTCTCCCTTAC